GAGGGCGTCGACGAGCGGCTGAAAGACCACCCACACCGCAGTGACAAAATTCGCAACGAAGCAGAAGATGGTCGTACGTCTCGAGGTCTCCGCAGACTGGACAGACTTGGGCGTCGTCGGCCAGAAAGTAGAGCCGGGAGCGGATCGCGACGGCGCCAAGCACCACACGGTACATGAAGTCGGCGTATCTTGGCAGGATGTGCTCGGGTTGGCGGGTGTTGGTTGTTGTTGAAGTGAGTCTATTTAGATATAATATACACTGAACTGGATATGGTGGTGGACTATCGATTCCAAGGTGATACGACGAGCCGGCCGCCGATAGGCTTAGCCAAGCGGGAGATAGTAGTAGGGCGTTGGTAGTACTAGGGTGGTCAATGGTGAAGTCATCAACGTAGCTGGCAGGCACTCTCTGGCCTCGACGCACAGCGCGCCACCGAGTTTAAGGAGGACGATTTTCAACATCCCAAGTGCTGGAAGCTTGGTGTCGACACGAGTGTTGAGCAGACTTGTCTTGCATTCGATCGACGGGAGCCCGTCGAGAGGATGCCCTCTCGGGCGGTGCATTATTACCGGTAATAGCCATCCTCGGTAGTGGCGCTATCGTCGCCCAAACCAGTGACACGCTGCGTGGACCTTCATTGCTCCACAACCAAGCTCGTGTTGACCATCTTGGTTTGACAACCGATCGTCGCCATGTGGAAATTTAGTGTATCCGGCGCCGTGGATTGTATCCGGATGACGGGCGAGCCTGGATTGGCTCACTTTTCAACAATCTGGCACGATGGTCGATGGCCTGACCTTGCGTGACCGCTGCGCCGCGCTGCAAGCCGCAGTGGCGACGCTGCTGTTCGATACACCACCGGATACGTTTCGGCAGTTGGTCGACGAGATGGCTGCGATTGCGTCGGACATGACAACCAAAAAAGCGGCGCTTCAACTTCAGGAAGCCCGCATCGACGCCAAGCTCGAGATGCTGGCAGAGCTCACAGCCAACAAGACGATCTCGCAAGAGCCAATCAAGACCGCGGTGCGTGAAGAAGATGGTGCGCTACGCAAGATCGTCACGCTCAACGTCGGCGGCACGCTCTTCACAACGGCGCGAGAGACGTTGCTCCGTGTGCCTGGCAGCTACTTTGATACGATGCTCTCGTCCGACCACTGGCGTCCCAACGAAAAAGGTATGGCGTACCATACTGTCGGCAGAAATGCGCCATGGATGACGTGGCACGCTGTAGGCGAGTACTTTCTCGATGTGGATCCGAGCACGTTTGCACGGGTCATCAAGTACTTCCGCTCGGGTGTGCTCGACATGAGCAAGCTCTCGGCAACGGACAAGACCGAACTCTGGGAGATGTTTGACTACCTTCAGATCAAGTGGCCAGTGCTGGTGCCAACGTCGATTGAGGCGCCGCGGCTGCATTGGGACTCGTCGCACTGTTCCGCAGACATTTCGCTCGACGAAAACAACATGCGAGCTACCAGCTCCAAGATATCCTGGGCCAATGTCCTTGCGTCGATGCCAGTGACATCGTTTGCCGTGCGCGTCCAACTTGGTGCCTATGTTGAAGTTGGGTTCATGCCCCGGCACCATTTCGCACCCAAGGCATCAGAGTGCGGGTGGTACTTTCACTGCGAGACGGGCACGGTTCGCTCGCGTAACGTGCGCTTGAAGGAGCCGAGTATTAGTCTTGAGACCAAGTCTCGATCCGTGTTCCTTCAGGTAACGTGGCATCGGGACCAGGAGCGCATCTCGTTTGCGGTCGACGGCGTGCCGCTGTCCATCGGACTGCAAGACGTTCCCACAGTCCTCCCGCTGTATCCATTCGCGCGATTTGCATCGCGCGACACCAGCGTCAAGATCCTTCCCGTATAGCTCGCGACCAAACATCACCTGTAACCAAAGTCAGCTAGCCTCATCCTCACACCAATACATGAACCGATTAAATAAATGTTCTGTGAGAGTCGCACTGCCGCTTCACTCGAGCCACCAAAGGATGAAATATATCATGTAGCAAATACGAGGACCGTGTGGCAGCTAGCAGCAACTTTCGTTCTCGTACAGCGGCTTGGTTCCGCGTTTCCATGACGTGGCAGTCCCAGCGACGCTTGAAACCGTCACAACTTCAACTTGAAACATCAAATTCGTGGTATATACTCGTTTCCAGCCAGTAATGCATCTACACTATCCTACACAAATCAGCGCACACCTGGCTATGCCAAGCCCGCCTGCTGCATGAGCCCGTGGAACGTGCC